TTCTCTCCCAGGGTTTTCAGTACCTAGTCGCTGGGTGTGAATATATTTAAATACTCTGTGGAGAGAGGCATGCGGGCTTTCTCTCCCAGGGTGTTTCAGCACCTAGAGTGGTTATGGGGAATTTCTCTTCCTAAATTAAGCCAGATGGGTTTAGGAGTGGGCTGTCTCCCCAGGCTTCTGGGTAGTTTTAAGTGGGCAGTCCCTCTGAATCCCGCTTAGTGGGTTTGGGCTGAGTACACTGCTCCCCCTCTTCAGGGATTATGTGAACAGTCCCTGCTCAGTGTAGCTGTCTGTGGATAGTTATGCCCCAGCTCAAGCTTACTTTGCTCTGGAATATGGTGGTCTGAGGGCAGCTATGTTCTAGCCTGGCTTCTTAACTAGGTTGGGTTCCCCTTGGCACAAGTTCTCTCGATTAAGCGCTGAAGTCTTTGTCTAGGAATCTGCTATTCGAGGATAGCTGTGTTCCAGCTCGGAGACTGCTCCCCTTTTTAGGGTTTTTAAATAGTGGTCTCCGTGAGCCCCTTGCATGAACTGTGCTGTCTCCCCTTCAGGGTTTTAAGTAGACATCCCACTTCTGTGGTCTGGGCTATCTTCAGCCTTATCTGAGTAAACTGCTATTAGAATAAACTGCCCTCTAGTGTTATGGCCACAGCTTACATCAGGCTTTGATCTTGGACTAATGATGGACTAATTCGCTCTTTAGCAAATCATTTACTGATGGTCTGGATCTCCCTCTTGTGAGCTCCTGGTCAATAACATGGTGCTTTGCTAGCCTACTGTGGGACTGACACGGATTGGGGACATCCTTAGTATAGCCATCTGAGGGTGATTATATTCCAGCCTCTTCCAGACCACATTCCTCTCCTGGAGGGGTCCCCTTTTCCTATAGCCTAGCTATCTGAGGATATCTATGTGCTAGCTCAGTGACTGCTTCCCTTTTTAGGGTCTTTAAGTAGCGGTCTCCTTGAGCCCTTGCCTAGACAGTGCTAACTCCCCTGCTAGGGTTGTACGTAGATAGCCCACTCTCTGTGGTCTGGGCAGCTCTGCAGGAAGGCTATCTAGATTGTTATTCTGGTCTCCAAGCCTCCATAAGACCATTAGAACATAGCTATCTGAGGATAGCTGTGTTCTAGCTCAGCAGCTACTCTCATCACCTGAGATTTAAGTGGCGATCTCTTGAGTTCCTCTAGAGGCTTTCTAGTTTAGCCTCTTCAGTGGTCTTGTGTATTCAGGAGAGTATTGCTCACATAGCATAGCTATCTGAGGATAGCTGTGCTCTTAACTTGGATGGGGTGTTCCCCTTGATCTAATCGGGTCTCCCCATTTCTGCCAGGTTATTTGAGCAGCCCGTGGTGTCAGTGGCCTTGCCCCTTTCTGAGGAAAGGTTTGGCGTATGTCTGTCTCCCACCAGGTGGAGAGGCACGCGCCTCGGCATGGCATGGTTGGATTTCGTTCCCCAATGTGCCCCCTAGGGGGTGCAGAGTGGAGTTCCCTAGAAGGGGACGTCTCGGGTTATGCATGTAACCATGGTTCTTCGAGAGGGAACGAGATGCTGCGCCCCCTTGCCATACCTTCGGCCTGCCTGTTTACGTCTCCTTCAGACAACTAAGTTGGTGACGTATTCAGCAGGTGCCCTTTTATACTTCCGGGCACCCCGCCTATGAGGTCATGGGCCATGTGGACCAATAGGATTGGCGTTGTTTCACACGTGCTTCAGACACCGGTCATGCTGGCGGCATTCCCCAATGTGCCCCCTAGGGGGCGCGGCGTGGAGTTCCCTCTCGGGGAACCACATGCATAACCCGAGACGTTCTCTCCCACTAAAAAACCATGCAATGAAATATAATTGAGTTGGATCAATTCAATTTGATCAAATACAGTTTAAATGAAAATTATATATTTATGAAGTGACTTTTATTTATTTTATTTTTATTTATTTGTATTTATTTATTTATTTTTATTTATTTATTTTTTTTGCTTGTTGAACTCAAACTAAAACATTTAACTGGAAAATAAATTATTAGGCAGAAATCCTTCTCTACTCAAAAAAAAAAATGACACATTGGATTTACTTAAAATTGCAGGCATTAGTGTTTATTTTATTATGAAAGCAACTTTAACTCATGTTAGCAGGTCCTCAACCCAAGCACATGCTCTACACTTCACCACAATGGTAGCCCCCAAAAACACTAACATACCAGAAACTGTTTTAAATACAAACATAAAAGACCATTAAACAATAACAAGTCTCTCAATTTTATCATCTTATTAAAAAATGCATAAAACAACATTTTATTTACTCTCCTTATTTTATTTACTCTCCTTATCCAGCCCTGTGCAAAGCTTGATGGGAAGGGGAAATCTACTTCCTAGTACACAAGTAAAATCATTGTACTCTCAACTCAAATGAAATAAGTAAATTGGTTGTAAAGCATTGTGTTGGATTAACTTCATTTACTTCAGTAAATTGAACAAGCATCAAATGTTATTTTTGGCCTATTTAATTGAAACATTTTATTTCCCTCTCGGGGAACCATGGTTACATGCGTAACTCGAGACGTTTTTTAGTAGTGTGCAGTTAAATGGGGGCAGTCGTGGCCTAACGGATAGAGAGTCTGACTTGTAACCCGAAGGTCGTGGGTTCGAGTCTCAGGTCCAGCATGGATTGTAGGTGGGGGGAGTTAATATCCAATGCTCTCTCCACCCTCAATACCATGACTGAGGTGAGACCCTTGAACAAGGCACCGAACCCTCAACTGCTCCCCAGGTGCCACAGCATTGGCTGCCCACTGCTCTGAGTGTGTGTGTGTTTATTCACTAATCACTGCTGTGTGTGTGCACTTGGATGGGTTAAATGCAGAGCACAAATTCCACGTATGGGACACCATGCTTGGCCACACGTCATGTCCTTTCCTTCCTAAATGTTTTAAAATTGAACGTTAAAAGTTCAAATGGACTTTTGTTCTGTTCTGTAATCGTTGTTAATATAAGTCATACACTTCATAAAGCTTGCACTTTATGGGTGCAACAGCTTGTCACTGGCAGTCATTTATGAAAATAAATCACGGTTTTACAACAGTGACCATAGTTCTACTATAGTATTTGTAGTAAAACCGCACTTACCACTAAATTACCATGGTTATCACTACAGTAACCATATTTTAACCATATATAACATAACACATGCACAGACACGCTTGCCTCGCCTCTGCTAAAGAGACCTGTAAACATTTATATGTAGATATTTATACTTTTTCTCACTCTGCTGTATTTTCAGTCGGGAAAGAGTAGCTGATGATTTGTGCTTTGGGGAACAGGTGGACATTGATTCTGTCATGGAGAAGTCCGGCTGGACCATTTGTTTTGTACCATCATGCCATCTGCTATCGTCGTGAGACACTGCGTTTTTCCCATCCTCCTTCGGATAAATCTGGATTTTGTCCCAGTGTGTTACTGATGACATGGTGACCCTAACCAAGCAAATGCTGTAAAAGCTTTCATCAGCATTTCAATTAGTAGCCAGATATGAGAAGAAAAGCCACATCTCCAGCACCGGCGTAGGCCTTGTTGATGTGTGTCATGTGACAACTTGCATTACCGTTCCTACATCACATCCTTACTATTAATAATTTTTGGCCAAAATTAATCTGCCAAACTCTAATGAAGAATAGCACAGACCCAGATCAAAAGAGGGATGACTGGTAATAATTCAGTCGAAATTGTGCTCCATCAATTTACCCCCTAGTGCCAGTGTATTATGTGTAATGATATTTAAAAACACTGCCCTCTTGTGATATGGGAAACTAATGACAGCACAGAGACTGATTAGGGTAAATTATGCAAAAGTAGAAGTGTTTGAAAAATGTATGACAGAGCACAGAAAAAATAAGGCTTTGTTGTTTTGGATGACACAGCATAGCAAATATTGCATACATAATCATTTATTAGGTTAAAATGTAAGGATTATCAGTCACACTTTAGTTTGGGGACCAATTCTCACTATTACAGTTACTAAATATTAACCAGTGTTGGGAAGGTTACTTTGGAAATGTAATAGGTTACAGATTACGAGTTACCCTTTTTAAAATGTAATAAGTAATGCAACTATTACAATTACTTTATTAAAGTAATGTAACTGATTACATTTGATTAATTTTTGATTGCTTTTCTAGATTTCTAACAAATGTTTTCAACTGTTAATCATTTTGAAACATTTAAAGCAGGCAGTGTTAACCTTACAGTAGTACTCAACTCAACTCAACTTAACTGATTACTGTCAGACTTTCAAGGTCCTTCTTCACTTGAATTTTAAAGCACAGCCACCAAAATCAGACTTCACTCAACACCTTTTTTTTTTACTTTGAGATAACTGAGGTTAAATCAAGCGGCAACCTTCCGGTCTCTCTCATGAAACCAACACGGAAGTGACTAAAACTGCAATTCATCGACTGGCCGCTAGAGGCTGGCTACAAAAGGGAGTCAGTATAGACTCCACATGTTAAAATGCCCGACTTTACAGCAGAACAAATATGTTTACAGCCTGGTACAAAAAGTGGTTTTGGTCTATATAGCTAATTTTGCCCTTCATGACAACTGTGAGGGTGGTGATTTTGTTTTTATAACTCATCCATTTAAATTATATTAAGCCTTAAAGTTCTGCATAATTAAGGGCGTGGCCACTTGAGTGACAGGTGGATTGCCACTGCTGTTACCACTGTCGAGCTAGGTGGGCGTGGTTTCAGCAAACCAAGATGGCGATGGCCGGCTCCGCCCACTTTGAGCTTCAAAAACGCTCTTCAGAAACCTACGGGTGACATCACGGACACTACGTCCATGTTTTTATACAGTCTATGGCAGGGACGCGGGTAGTAGGGGTGCTGAGGGGGCTGCAGCACCCCCTGTTTTCACATGGTTGCAAATGCAACGCCAGGTTTGTTCATTTAAATTTATTCAGTTTTAGCATTTAATAATTTATTTGCAATGATCTCTGAAATGTAAATTGTACGTGGGCTATAATAAACCCATGTTTATCTTTATAAACATGATTAATTTTACTTGTGATGTTTTCTATATGGGATGATTAGCCTAATCCTCACACTTTTCTGGAGAAAATAATTGTTCTGTTCTTCTTTTGAGAGATGAAGCCTATTCAGTGCACTACTGTCTTGAAGAAGAAAGCAAACTGGATCTAACCATGAAAGAGAGAGAGGCGGTCAGCTCAGATGCACAACAACAAAAGGACAAAAGTACATTAGAGTCTCTAGTTTGAGAAACAGCAGTCTCATCGGGCTCAGCAAAGAGGAGACTCTGGGATACTCTTGGCCTTTCAAGGCAGAGGGCAGAATGGACGAAATACACTGGCTAGTAAACATGAATGAATTAATGATGTCTGAAATGTGATTAGTAACTTTTACATTTTTACATTTTACATACATTAGAAAATTAGTAACACTGTAAATGTCTTTACTATCATTTTAACTTAGTGTGACATAGGGTTGGGCGATAATCAATATCCTATTGAGATTACGATAAAATTTATGTCCATAACTATGGTAAACTCTGGACATTTTTACTTGATATGGATTAATCTAACAGTCTATCACACAGAAAAAGCATGACAGTCAGTCAGTGCATGTGACTAATAATTCTGCATGTTCTGTGTCTGTGTGAATGAGTGGCGTAGTTTCATCTACTACACAAACTCAAACACACGTGACGCTCGCAGTGTTTTCAGCGTCTGCGTCTCAATATATGAGACATGAACTTAATCTCCAGAGCTGCTCTGAGAGTCACTTCACCAGCTTCACCACTTCACTGCCCTGAGAGTCACTTCACCAGGTGTTCACTGTTTCATTTGAGAAAAACTACCGTCAAGTACACACTGAAACTGAAAGACCTTCATGACAACCCATCAAAATAAAAGTCTGATTTAACTTGAAGAAATTATGACAGAAATGTATTACTATTTCACACTAATATGTAATTATTATTATTTTATAATTAAATAATAATTATTATTATTTATTAAAGTAGTGATACAAATATTTTGTAGATATTTTTTAATTAAAATGCTAAAATCAAGGTGTAAGATGAACATTTCTAACACCCATGTTAGAGGGGCAGAATGAGGGTTAAAAATAATTATTTTCTCATTTTATTTAAAAAAAAATTCATATTAACATTATAAGTGAACCTCGAGATCAAATAACACATTAAAGTGATTTTTAAAAAATCCATGTCATGAATAAAGTAGTGATTAAAATGGGAAACTGCCTCATCTATCACATGTATGTAACACATATGAACATTTCTGTCCTGTAACTATTTTAGTTAGTTATTTTAAAAAGTTTGTTGTCCTAAAAAATCTCAAAGTCTAACCAAATCTATTTGGATTTTTTACCATTTTGTTGATTTGTGAACGTGAACACAAATGAGATTTCAAAGCTTTGCCAAGGAATATGTCAATAATGATATTAATGTATATCCATCATAAAAGTTACAATATCATATGGTTTTAGAACATAGGTTTTTATAATTAATAATAAAACTGTCCTTGAATGGAAAACAGCTGCATAGAATTTTGCTGAACAGAATTTCTCCTTTTGTTTTCTAAAGAAAAACAGCATAAAGGTTTGAAACAACATGACAGTGAGTAAATATTTTAAATGTTTCATTTTTCATTTTTGGGTGACCTATCATTTGGAAATTATTATTCAATGGAAGATGCAGTCACTCAGGACTCACGACAGGACTTTGACATATAGGATGAGTAACAATTCTTGATGGCATTGATTGAGAAAATAATCATCTTCACAGCATGTTTAGCATTACGTGCACACCTGAGCTCTGTTCAAAAAGATGAGAGCCATATGTGTGTGTAAATGAGAAGAACGCTGTCGAAAATCACCATGTCTGAGATCCACACAGCATATGGCAGACTGGACTGAAACATAGGAAGTGCACTCATTAGACAGACAACACGATCATATCACGGTTCTATAATTGGGACAGGACATTTGGAAATTATTATTCAATGGAAGATGCAGTCACTCAGACCGACAGGACTTTGACATATAGGATGAGTAACAATTCTTGATGGCATTGATTGAGAAAATAATCATCTTCACAGCATGTTTAGCATTACGTGCACACCTGAGCTCTGTTCAAAAAGATGAGAGCCATATGTGTGTGTAAATGAGAAGAACGCTGTCGAAAATCACCATGTCTGAGATCCACACAGCATATGGCAGACTGGACTGAAACATAGGAAGTGCACTCATTAGACAGACAACACGATCATATCACGGTTCTATAATTGGGACAGGAAAAAAAGATAAAAACCTGTCTCTCTGTATTGTTAACCTAAAACCTAACTCTCTCTCCTGACATCTCTGGGAGCAGACGCCTGTGGATACTGAGAAACACACATCTGGTTTTATTTTCTGTTTTATATATAACTGCTATGTTCATTTCCTTAAAAGGAACAAATTAAAATTGATTACAGTTATAATTTTTGCACACCTGAAAATGCATGAGGAAATGTATTTGATCTGAGCTGCTAATGCAATGACAGCAGATTCATCTGCTATTATGAGTGATCCAGAAGTGATCTAAGCCAATAGGGAAAATCAGTTGTCACTAATCATATTTACATACAGTTGTATAACTGCATGTTCATATGTTTTGACAGATCTGATTCTGCACATTCTATTTACACCTGGACATATAAACGTGTCTCTGCAGAAATATAATTTTGATGTTTCTAGTAGCAAAACACACTCTTCAGACCATATGGCAATTATGTTTCACAGCTGTACCATAAATGTCTCATTACTGATTGCTCTATGTTGGAGGCTGATTAGTTGAGTTCTGTATGTGGCCTGAAGGACCAGGAATGGCATCAAAGTCAGTCATAAATCTGTCCTGGAGGGCATTTTCTGTACACTTGGGGCCAGATTTACTAACAGCTTGCGCCAGCGCAAACAGTCTTTTGGCATTAAAATAGTACTGTCAGGTTTTACTAAAGACGCGCAGTGAAGAATTAGCCCTGAAAAGGCGTGGACACAGTTATTTTTGCACCTGACCTTACTTAATATGCATTTGTAGGAGTTTCCCTTTCAGATGCAACATTTATGGGAGTAGAGTATTAAAATGAATCACGCAATGTGATTTATTAACATTTGTGCTCGCCAAATTACTGGTATTTGCGCCATTATTTAATGCCCCAAAAAAGCATGTCTTAAATCAATAAAAAAACAAAACAAAACAAACAAAAAAAAAAACAGGAAAAAATAAATAAATAAAAAATTAGAAGTAACAGAAAAAAAAACTAACTGAAAAATGTTGTTGAAGAAGCAAAATTACTAAAACTGAAAAAATAAAATAAATGAAAGCCACATAGCAATATTTTAAAAAGCAAAAACTAATAAAAATGCACATTATAAAATTACTAAAACAAACTAGTAAGGAGAATGGGAATGCTCACTTGTCATATACTGAATTTGATATTTTTCAAATTGAATATTTTATTTGTTTATCTGCTTGATTGTTTTTAGTGAAATATGATCTGAACATGGATAGGTTTTGTGAGATTGACCGGGTCATAATTTGAGCCCCTAGTTAACGTTCGTTCATTCATTCATTCATTCATTCATTCATCCATTCATCCATCCATCCATCCATCCATCCATCCATTCATTTACCACTTGATTTTTGGAATAATTTAAATTTGTAGGACAATCAGCCACAAGTTATGCACCAAATTGTTTAAGAAGTTTGTTTAATTCACTAAACCTAAACATGAACAATAGTAATTGCGCTGCTTGCCTTATCAAACACCACAAATAACTGATAAAGTGTCTGTTTGGCATCTGGCATGATGGGTTACTTAACAAACACTGTCCTGTTTGTTCAGAGAATTAGTTCTGATCTGGCAACAGCACCTTTTACCCACGCCTGAGCATTAATCATTATTAAGGCAAACAAAATCTGTGCTTATACTCACAACACCATCGAAACCTTCAAGAGCACACGCTGTATTAGCAAACATCACCGCTGCGTTCAGAATGAGCATTATGGCATTGTGTGGTCTGTGGCGCCAAGCGCTCGTTCATGGATAAAAATCCAAAATAACAGTTAATTCACCAAAATATTACTATGAGACAACCTTGAAAATAGAAACATGAAAAGTTTGAATTTTTTAATGTATTTAAAAGAAGTCTCTTATGCTCACCAAGGCTGCATTTATTTGATCAAAAATACAGCAAAAATAGTAATATTGTGAAATATTGCAATTTAAATGAACTGTATTCTTTTTGAATGTATTTTAAAATGTAATTTATTCCTGTGATGCAAAACTGCATTTTCAGCATCATTACTCCAATCATTACTGTAATATGCTGATTTGCTTCTCAACTGTTATCAGTTATTACTGGTGTTCAGTTATTAAATATATAGTTCAGTCATGAAACTCTAGATGGCGCATTCTGACGGGGTGTTAACGTAACTAATGATATTCAGAGAGTTCTTATTATTATTAGTGACGCAAACAGTTTTTGATGCTTCATATTTATGTGGAAATAGTGATGCATTTTATTTTTTTAGGATTGACTGATGATCAGAAAGTTCAAAAGAACAGCATTTATTAGAAAATGAAATGTTTTTGTAACATTATAAATGCCTAGTTCTTTCATGAAACTCTAGATGGTGCAGGCTGATGGGTTTTTAACGTAACTGATGATATTCACAGCGTTAAACAACTTGGCACAAGCTGATTGGTTCATGTTGCATATGCAGCCAATGAGCTTGTTGCTTTACATATAAATGGCTGGTTAGCATCCACTTGAGCATTTTGTAGCGCACTTTCAGAGTTTCTCTGAAACCCTTCACCTTCCCCGGCTCTACCTGTATAGATCTGCTACGGGTTATTTTGTATGCTATTTGTGCAGCAGCAGTATGTCTTAAATACTCACAGCACCGTATCACCGTATGCATTGGCAGTAGCAAGTTCC